TATATATATATATATATATATATATATATATATATATATATATATATGTATATATATATATAATATATATATATATATATATATATATATATATATATATATATATATATATATATATATATCGTGCTGTGTAAAGGTAAATGATCCCCTAAGATAATATCTTGAAGAATTGTCTCTTTTCCTGGATGATCACCAAATCTTAATTAAACTATATATTCATTAAGAAAAACCATCATTAAATCTATTAGAAACACTTTCAGAATTCTTTATGAAGCTGGAATAAAAATATTAATTAAAAATTAATATGTTCAAAAGTTAGTGAACCTTTACATTTAGTATCTGATGACTGCTATTTTTGTGGTTACCCTGTCATCTCGTCTTATTCTATAATTTTTAAGAAGTTTCTCGCATTAGTAAGTACCGATTTTTGATCATTCTCCTTGGAAAACCTCTCACAATTACTCGATTTTACTTGGGTTTCTTGCTGGCACTGCCTTCTTTTACTTGAATCACAAATTTTCAATTGGGTTTACATCAGGACAATTGGGTTTAGATCAGGCTGTTACGAGATTTCTTTTACGAATTCATTCTTTTGTGGATTTGCTTTGATCATTTACATCATTGTCCTGTTGGAAATTCAAGCCCCGACCTAAACTCAACTTTTGAACAGAGGACAAGACACTTTCGTTCAAAATTGCTTTGTATCTTGCAGAGACCATTGTGGCGTCAATGCCTACTATTTTGCCTGTTCCAGTTACAGCAAAGCAACCCTAAATCATAATACTGTCACCGCCATGTTTAATGGTTGGTATCAAATTATTGTCTTCAAAAGCCGTATTAGACTTATTATTCTTCCCAAAAAAAGCTCTAGTTTGGTCTCATCTCACCATAAAACAATTTGTCAGAATGTTTCTAGCTTATTAATATGAGCTTTGACGCAGTTGAGGCGAGCATGATTGTGCTATTTCGTAAGCAGCAGTTTTTTCTACTCATTCTGCCATGAAGATCTGCATTGTTCAGATTTCTTAGTACTGTAGATGTATACACGTTGTTTCCGACATTGGCCAATGAACATTAGAGAGCCGTAAAGGTAAAAGCAGGATTTGCCTGGGTCTGCCGAATTAGATGTGCACTTGTTCTTGCTGTTACTGTTCACAGACAGCCACTTCTTGCTTGCGATTCCGTCATACCAAATGTCTTCCATTTGTAAATAATTTGTTGCATGGTGAAGTGCACTCTAAATAGTTATGATAGATTTTTGATCATTCAAATCATTTTCCTGTTGGAAATTCAAGGTCCGACCCAAACTCAATTTTTGAACAGAGGATAAGACACTTTCGTTCAAAATTGCTTGGTATCTTGCAGAGACCATTGTGGCGTCACCACCCAATTTTTTTACCTACAGCAAAGCACCCCCAAATCATAATGCTGTCACCGCCATGTTTAATGGCTGGTATCAAATTATTGTCTTCAAAAGCCGTATTAGGAGCTCGCCAGATATACCAAATGTCTTCCATTTGTAAATAACTAGCAGCAATCGCTATCACTTGACTTAAAATATTTTTGCCCTTCCTTGCCTTTCAAGGAGTGCCCTTTGCCATGCTGACGTTGCTACATGCCTTACTTCTTGCCTATCTCACACTGCGAATTTTTTCTAAGCTCTATACTAAACATTAAATCTCTTGCGAAAAAAAGAACTAAACAAAATGAACACAAAACGATCAGCTTTAAAAAAGGACTCGTAACTGGAAAAACCGAATGATAAAAGAATGTTAACAACAAATACTTTTTCACACCGAACCCAGTTCTGCGGAATCAGAATCAACGTTGAGTTTAAGCAAGCGAATGAGACAATTGGAGTAAAGTGCCATGCAAATTTAAATTTTTCCCACTTGTGACGAATACAGCTATCGCTTTTTTTTTTGCATGCTAGCATGCTAGTTAACATTCGTTTCAGTCAGCTGTTGGCTCTCACGTTGGCCAATATAATCTTCCTGCCTATTCGTGGCAGCCAGCTATAGGCTCTCACTCTGGCCAGTAGAAAATGGCCGCAAACTACATGAAAACTGCTGTAGAAGCATGAAAAAATCGATTATTTCCACTATCGATGTGGGTTGGGAAATGCAACGTTCGTCTTGGCCTTCCCACTAACTTGGAGCATGTGCATGTAAATTTTGGTGCAAATCCGTCGAAAATTGCGGCCGTGCATTCGTTACACACACACACACACACACACACATCCTGCCTTTTTTAGATTTGTTGCATGATGGAGATGTGCACTCTAAATAGTTATGACGGATTTTTGTAGCCATATCCATCATTATGGATGCGATTTTTAAAGCTTCACGAAGTTCTTTTGATCTTTGCATATATATACAAATATATATATTTTTAAAATTTAGTCTTTCCATTTTTTTACATGTGCACAAAATAAACATGTAAAGCAAAAATACAGAATATATATGTAAGGGTTCACTTACTTTTGCACATCTTAATATTTATATTCCAGCTTGATAAAGAAATTTGAAAGTGGTTGTAATTGATTTAATAAAGGCTTTTCTCAATGAATATATAATTTAATTCAGATTTGTTGATTAACTGAAAAAAAATCTGTTCCGAAGTTATCCGTATACTTGGATGAGTATCGCTGCGGAACTGAATATATCAAGTCTACCTTGTGTCTTCTTCCTCACTTAGGCCCGTAGTACAGTTGGTATAACGTTTGCGTTGTATCGAAATGATGCGGGTTCGATTCTCGGTAGTGGATACGCGCTGCTGATGTGTCCCAAATAAGGCGAAACGCTGCTGATGTGTCCCAAATAAGGCGATTATGTATATATATTTCTTGCCTTTAATGCCATAATATATTTATATATATTATGGCATTAAAAGGCAAGACATTTTTTACTATAGATCATGATAAATTTTAAAACAAAAACATAAACACAAGTCGACCGGTTTTCGTCCCCTCTCGTCAGAACTGTAAACGGGGAAACAAATTATGAAAAGAAAGTCTGTCGCGGACGACGTGAATGAATGGACGGGGAAAAAATATAATAATAAAAAATACAATTTTAAAATTTATCATGGCCTATAGTAAAAAAAATTCTTGCCTTTAATTCCATAATACGTTTTTGTACCGTTAAAAACATATTTAAATATATATATATATATATATATATATATATATATATATATATATATAGGTAACTACACTCGTCTCGAAAAACCTTCGATTTCTTGATTTGCTCATGGTCAAATCAATTTCGAAGAAAAAAAAAAATGTTTTAAAAAGAAAGAGATATGAACATGAATGTCTGTCGAAAATAATCGTACAGCATACAGGTCCACCCCCCGCCAAAAAAAAAAAACAGTTCGAGTAATCAACTAACTTAAAAGTGCTCAATACAAAAGTAGAGCAGACGATCCATTTTAGATGAAACCTTGATAGGTTTGTCTGGCTCTCTAGGTTTGACTATATATATATATATATATATATATATATATATATATATATATATATATATATATATGAAAGAGAAGAAGCGGTGGTTACTGTTGTCATATTTTTATAATTTTGTGGACGGACAGAGGAACCTTTGGACTTTTGGAGGTGGTTTCTCAATATGTTGAGGCATTTCGTGATGGGTATGTTGATTTTATTTGTAATAAAAGTTATATACATAAAATATATAAATACATGAACGTATTTTATATATTTATGTATTTTAGATAAGTACATAAATTACATAAAGTTATTTGTTTTATTTATATGTTGTTTTATGTATACAATGATTCGATGTCACGGCTCGCCATGACCATGTTTTCAATATTTACGTTTCGTATTCTCTGGATTAAGTCACCAGAGTGTTTGATATGTGTTGTATTAATGGTTCCCAAGAACGGAGTTAAACCTTTTGCAATGGCTCTTTGAAAGGTGCAGTGTTGATACCGGACACAGTCGATCAAATTGGTATATCGGGTTTGCATATTTTGGGTATCTATTCCCTTAGAATCATTACCTTCAATCAGTTATGTGCCATGCGTGATAAACGGTTAGGCGATCATGTATCTTTCGATACATGGCTAACGAGGCAGATTTTTTTTTCCCGCAGTAGGTTGCCATTTCTTTCTACGGTAGACCAGTTGCCATCCAAGGCTACAGAAACCGGTCTGTCCTGTTATTTACTCATAGCTTGGGAGAGAAGAGGATGATTCATACATTTCCCAAGGGTATTAGCCCGTAAGTGAATGTAATGGATTCGACTGGAATTCGAACTCGGCTCTCCGATTCCTCAATCCGAGCCGCTAACCATTACATCACCATGCCTCCTAAAGGTTAATAGATCAGCGGAAAGTGCTCGGATACACCGATAATTTGGACAGTTTTGACACAGTCGATATCCAGAAAAGAAAATACTTGTACTAATGCAACAAAAATATAATAAAAAAAGCTTAATCGCCCTGACATGTCAGTCCTTTTCAATAAAACTTGTATAAAAGATGGATTGCTTCCCAAATGTGTGTCTGCGTGGCTGTCTGTGTGTCTGCGTGGCTGTCTGTGTGTCTGCGTGGCTGTCTGTGTGTATAAGTCCATTTTCAAATACTAAATGACATTTATTTTCTTCAAGTATTTATTTTTCAATATTATATTCTTCCTAATCAAGATATTTTATACAGTGATTCTCCCTTAATCAAACAAGTAGAACATTCTACAGTTAGTATTTCAGATCACAATTTATGAAATAACTGTATCAACTGTTGCCACCACACACACACACACACACACGCACACGGACGCACACACACACATACATATATATATATATATATATATATATATATATATATATATATATATATATATATATATAACGTATGTATATATGAAAGAAATCTTAATATCTATGCGGTTTCAAAATCACTTTGATGAAATTTCTGCAGATTTTAAGACCAACCAGATGGTAATAAAAATGTTTCCTTAGGAGCAAATGCTGATA